CTTGGTCATTTACATGATTAAGAAGAGAGACCTATTCGGGAAAGAGAAGTATATGACAATCGACGAGCTGACAACTCCAAAGAGAGACAAACAAACAAAACAATAATCCTTTAGCTTTGCGACATCTCTGTCAAAATATGTTATTAGATCCCACACCTTGACGCTTCAGCTTCAGTTTGCATTGAAGTGTCGCTTGACTTCAATCATTGAAATATTATGAGAGGCATCTATATTCCTTACAATCTCCATATGAAACAGTGGCCAATTCAAACAATTATATTCTTTGAGAGAGTCGTTCAAATGATAGAAGATGGTCTCGTTGACGACAAGGAATCACAAACATCTTTTGGTGGATTATTGATATAGATCAAGTTGTTTGGCACTAAGAGCTCCTCATCCACACCCTAGTCCTCTGAAGCTAAGGACACAACCATAAACCTTAGGGTCAGCAAGACCCTTCTCATAACAAAGCCATTAATGTTTGAATCTGACACCTAGAGAGCAAAGACAATGTCTGACTCAAAGGCCTCCGAGCCACATGTCTCTTTTAGCTTACTCTACTCCGACCCGAAGAAGATAGGAAGAAATAAAAAACAACAACATACCTAAACATTTATTTATAGAATTTTAGGTCAATCAACTCGGATGTGTACATCCCAAGAAAAATAAATATGCAGTCAAGGTAAGGAAAAAACCTGATTGAAAACTTTATTTTCAATAATGATTGAAAATTTTGCAAAATATTCTAACTTCTTACATAGTGGTTAAGAAATAAAATATTTTCTTTTCTAAGAATAAAGAGATGACAAGGGCGAGTTATACATTTGATGACCCTTTGTCATCCTCTCTGTTGTCTTCTTCCACCCCATCCTCTGAGTATGATATTAGAGTGACAAATTTATATATGTCGATCCATTTGGAGGATACAAAATTTGCCTTTACCATTCAATTGACTCATAGGACGCCCTTTCCCCATGCTTTGCGACAAAAAGTTTCACCTAATGCGAGTGAAAGAGAGCTCAACAAAAAAACTAATCAATTTTCTCCATTGCGCCCATCTTCTTCTACATGGTTCAATTTACAAACATTGCATAATTACAATCCCTTTGAGCATATAAAAAAAATCAACGAGTCCAAATCAATACAATTTAATATTGTTAAAGAGGCTCGAACACTTAAAAAATTAGTCTCAATCAAGAGATTCCTTATGGTTATTCAAGAGAGTGTTTTGGGTTTTGTTGGAATTTACCACATACAAAGCTCTCAAAATCTACAAATAAACATTCACTTTCGATATGAGGGGAATGATATATTGAAGAACTTGAGGCAATAAGAATCGTTGAGCTCTAGTGGACCACTACCACCACATGGCTATTGTCTGCTTAGCTACTAGAGCACCAACAAACATCAAAATCTGACCATAATATGATGTTAGAAGGGGAATGATGATCATTATCCTATATGAAAGAGGGTATTGCCTACAAAAAAAAAAAGAAAATATTTTGATGATAGGAATTGAATTATTCAATTTATTCTTTAAGCATATATTGAGTTGAACATTCTCAGTTTCAACCATTTGAACAAGACTATATTATTATATTTTATATACTCAACCTTGTAGTATTTTTACATATTATACAATGATACGAACCACATTTGGTAAAACACATATGAATCACACAGATGAATCACGTAAGTATAAGTGTATTATAAGTAATATATGAAATTGAGTTTCGTGTATCGATCCCAACAAAAGCAGGGTAAATCCAAAATTGAAAATTGTTCTAGTCTACTAGTTAAAGTTCTAGCATGAAAGTCCAAAATTTGGTTTTTAGTCAAACTGACAACCCCAATTTTTTGAAGTGATAAAACATAAGCTAAAAAAGTGAGAAAAGAGTTTACGAGGTTTGTAGTGCCGATGAATTCTCCCATGAATTGGTTACGTAGAAATGTACATTTGAACTAGTGATTCAAATTTAAGTGTTAAATTGGAGCATAATCTTCCTTATCTCATCCAGGCATCTAAGGAAATTTTGCTAGTACACTAGTTTACTTCCTTAAATTAGTGAACAATCCAAGAATCTAAATCTCTCTGATTAGTTTGTACAAATCCATAGGCAATATCCCTATTTCCCTAAATTCATGTGATTAACTTAATCATTCAACTAAAGTTTCTCCTATTTTTTAAGTTTAGGAAAATTTTGACTATCCACCTAGTTGGGATGAATGTAAATTAAGTTTCTAATAAGAATCACACTAATAATTCAAATCTATCATTCCTACACTTCCAAACCAAAAAATTAATGAATATCTAATCACTATGCATGCTTGTGAACAATATTTCCAGCATTGTACTAAAAGAAAACAATCAAATTACAAGGGTTTTACCAACTAAGAAACTCAAAGCATGCTAGTGAACAAAATTTCCAGCATTGTACTAAAAGAAAACAACCAAATTACAAGGGTTTTACCAACTAAGAAACTCAAAGTAATCAAAACTAAACAAATTATATGCCTTCCTCAAATAAAAGAAGGATTGCACATTTACAAATACAAGCTCACACTATAGACCCACAACCTCTCTTCCTTACTTCACTCAAAGGCCCTGGATCCTTCTTCCTTCACATGCTCTTCACTGATATCCTCCTCCACAAAGGCGTTTTCTCTATGAAATCAAGTGGAAGAATATTATAAAACTCCTACATACATCAACTCAAACCATCTTATACTTGCCTTGCCAAAATTAATGTTTGAATGGTAAAAGCCACCAAACCACGTGAATTGATACATGGGCATTTATCAACAATGCTTATGTGCTAGGCATGAACATTGGTTCTAGTGCATCGAGCACTTAAGTACCCGGATGTACATGATAGGCACCCGGATGTAGTAACCAGGCGTTATGCATGAATATTGATTCTAGTGCATCAGAAACCTAAGTGCCCAGATGTAGCGCCTAGTCACCTAGATGTAACACATATGTGCTTGGGATGTAGAGCCTATGTGCTTGAGCTATAGTGACTAGGTGTCAGTATCATGACATATACTTTTTTGTATCTGTCATTTGCATGAGTTTTGGGCTCATTTTGGGCGCCTAGGCGCTTGGGTCTGGGCATCTAGGCACCTACTGACTATTATCTCCTGAAGGTGGTCTCTGCTGGCGAAGAAAAACTTACTGGAAGTCACCTCCTCGGGCACCTAGGCACTAGTTCATCCCTTAGCACATTCTAGGGTATTTCTAGCTCCACTGAATAACCTTCCTGAATTCTGCAAAACACATAACTAAAATATTAAAAAAAAACATAAAAAAAAAATATAGAAAAAATTGCAATAAAGACATCAAAACTATACATTTTCTATACACGTAATACAACCCACTCCTCAAAATAATTAATTTTGATTTCAATACTTATTTCATCCATAGCTCAAACCCGATTTAATTTGAATGTAAATTAAAATTAAAGTTAGTTTAAACCAAAGCTAACCAAGAATTAATCCTAGGATGAGTATAGGATCATCTCAAACTTAGTAAATAACATAAGAGGACAACCTTTTATCCAATTCCAACTCATGCCAAAATTCTATCATAAGTTTGATCTTTGCTAGAGATAGGCTAGACTTATTTATGCTTAACCCTAATTTGCCTCGACGAACTAAGTTGATAGTTTAGGCATTCAATATTTTTCTCAGTAGTTTAACTGCATATTTATGTGATATGACTAAGTAATAGATCCTTTATGATTGTCATATTAGCCCAAGTTTAATTTACAGTTGAATTAGCCCCAATATCCCTTAAAAATTGGACCTATCTGGTGATTTTGAACAAAATTACCCGACCGCTTGTTCGAACGTTTTCATAAGATTTAAATCACTAAACCATATGTTAATGGACAATAAATGAATATTATAGTGGGCTAATACCATTTGAACTGTAGCATGAGCCAATACTATTTAGTTGTAATAAATAAACCAAGCTATGAAATTGGATAAGGCTAATTCCTCCAATAGATTCCAATAGATTTGAAATTACTTAATGTAACCAAAATGGACATTTGGTGTCATTTGATTGAACCATTTGACCCAATTTAACCTTATTGGACATTGTAGGACCAAAACGTCTAAATAGAGAAACAAGATTAATACATGCATGCATACATGATAATAAATATTTTATGAGATGCATCATATTTTTATTGATTTTTGATATTTATCTTTATTTATATGAATTAGAGAATTAGTTTAAATTTAACTTTGAAAATTGACTATGCTTGAATTTGAAGGAACACCCACTCTTACAAAACAAAAAGAGACATTTACATAAATAACACACAATTCTTATGTATTTACATATCTCACACCTATCTTTTCATATTTACAAACATAACACTCAAATTTCTGACACCCCCAAAAACATAACACCAATATAATATTTTAAAAGTGAAATATACTTTTTATTTCATAATTTTAAAACATCAAATTTTTCTGTATGTAAATATGAAAATTCATATGTGAAACATGAGTATGTAAATTTCCCCTAAAGAAAATGAAAAATTATTTTATCAGTACTACTAATATAGAGATGTGTTCGGAGTTCATTGATATGAAGACACGTGGCTTTAAGGACTCACACTCAAATCTCCAGGAAATAAATAAGAAAACACGTGCGTTTTCCTGTGATCCGACCCGTAATACAAAGGAATATTCTTCCTGTGTTATTGTGGTGATATTGATGTGTTATTATGTTATTATAACACCGGAAATATTCTCAGAACATAATAACATATGAATACCACTACAATAACATCTGAATAACACAAAATAATAAGGGAAAATATTCTATTGTGCTAAAATGATTTTTTGTTTATTTTTCTATCACCACGTGATTTAATTTTATTGGATTCTAAATTTTTCCAAGAAAATCTGTAAATAAATGGTTAAAAAATTTTAATTCGTATTTGACCCATAAATTTACAAATTTACTACCACAGCGCGAGCTAAAACCCTGGGCCGATGGCCGGCTTCATGTAAGTCCATCATCTTCTTATCCCTTATCCCCTTCTCATTCTGTCGATTCAACAGTGATCTCTCTTTCTCCCTCAATGGCATCGATGTCAGCTCATCGGCTACCCTCCACAGCTCTCAACCGCGCCGATTCGAACTCTACCCGCTATTCCTCTCACTTCCCCAGCTTCATTGCCGCGTCCCCTCGTTGCCTGCTTTCTCCTCTGAAGAGGCTGGAGTCAGGCATCTGTCGTTGCCGCAATTCTCATTCAGGCTCGCCTCTGCCCGGCGAAGATGGCGATTGGAGGAGGTTGGACTTGCTTTTGCACGAATTCATGAGGAGCGCTGTGAAGAGGGTGGAAGATTGCGTAAATTCGTTTCGTAAACTGTCGGATATTGGCGTGTTGCAACTGGGTAATGATGGCGTGGCTGAGAAGGGTGAGGAAGCAGTGGCAGGGAATGGAATTAAAGAATTGGGATTGGAAACGGTGGAAGCGGCATTTTGTGGAGATGGAAGAGCAGGAGTGGATTGTGTCAGTGTTGAAGGTATTTTTGATAGGATTCTTGATGTAGTTAGAGCATTTAGGGCAGCTCAAAACTCCAATAGTTGAACAAAGATGATAAGCCCAATAAAAAGAGGGAAAGGTTGAATTTTTTTTTTCATACCATTATGCTACTAATTAGGAGCATTTACAGAATGCAATGCTAATTCAAACTAACACCAAAAAGCTAACCAAATGCTAATTAACTGAACATCATTCTTAACATGCCACAAGAGATGAAATGGATTGATGGTGCACTCGAAGGGCATGATCCATGCTTCAAGAGAGCCAATGGTTTAGGCTTACACATCCATTCCATCATAAAGAATACTGTCAACCAACATTACAGCTATGATTGGCTCTAAAATTTCAGCTGATTTGATATTCAAAGTAGTGCATGGAGCTCCATCAACATGAGAGAGGCTTTCATTGAATTATTCAATTTGCAAAATGTCGGCGTTGCCATGCCATCTTTTGCTTGTGCTTGAATGAGATTTGAATTAGTCAATTCTAAATATTTTATTGAACGAGAAGTTGTGGATGTAGATGTCACAAGTGCTACTTATGCTTGGTGCTGATCTGCCAGTCTAAGATGTTTTTTAACATTCATCTATCAAAGGTAATATCCTTTAGGAATACAAATGTAGATACTTGATTATCATTTAGATTATTGAGACATGTACCACAAACCTCTATCAAATAATTGTCAAACTTCATTTAAAAATGATCGGATCATTTGTGAATTCATTATTGTTGCCGTTGCAATAGCCAGAAAAGTAATAAAACATCGTAGAAAACTTGAAGCAGGCAAGTTTGCATGATTGGATTTGGTGATTTTTGGCTAGAACTTGGTTAGCATTTATTGCGGGATTGGTGGTTTTAAGAATCGATAGAGACTGATGATAATTCTTGGCTAAAGAAGGACTGTCGGAGGTCAGCCGGTTTTGCCTATTGATTTGGAAGTGACATCCACCATACTTGTGTTGTTGCAATTTTCAACAATGGAGCAAAAGAAATGATAGAATTGACAGAGTTCTCCGATGGATATGGGTGAACATTTCTCATTATTTGAAGATCATAGCAAGATTTAGCAGGACTTATAGAAGATAAAATTAAGTATGGGTGGAACTTGAAGATGTCTCCAATGAGGAATGCATAGATGATGTCGGAAGTTAGCTGGTGGTGAGATTTGCGAATTGCGGTTGTGAGGCCTGGGAGCTGCTCTTGGAACTTAAATATTGTTCACGCTGGATCTAGCCAAATCGATAAATGCCATGCTGAAATTTGTGATTGATGCTATAAGAGACGACAAATTTTAGGAATGAATTGGGATTGGAGACAAATATCGCATGAGAACGAACCAAAATATAAACAAGTTTTGTTGGTGCAAATTAGAGGTAGTGTCAAGTGGTTTGCAGGTGCATTATTTCGGTGTGGTGGAGATGATGGTGCTGTTGGCATGGTCAATGAAGAAGAAATACAATCAGTGATATGGGGAGCATGTATATCCCAATAATAGCACCATTGATAGGATCCTAGATCTAATTTGAGCATTTTGTGTTTCTCAACACTTCATGAATTAAGAAAGAAGAGAATACCAATAAAAAAGGGAAGACATGGTTCGTTATTTTCACTGCCATTCTACTAACTAGGAGTATTCATTGAATACAAAGCTAACTCAAACTAAATATACATCATTCTTAATATTCCAACTAAATATACAACTTTCCTTTGAAGAAATATTTTTTTAATCTCTTTGTTTGTTTTATAAAATTAAAAGCAATTTGTAAAATTGATAGAAGAGAATCCATTTTAAAATTTATTTCAATTTAAATTGTAAGGCAATCAGATGGAAGTTTTGCCGGGATCAAGTTGCAGGGTTTTATTGTCATTGTTATTATTATTATGATTCAAACATGTGCTGCTACAAACCCATGATTTGCACTGAACTTATTCCGTTAATTACTTTAACATTTCGAATAAACAACGCTTTATGTTATAGCAAACAGTAAAGAAATTAAAATAATTGCAATGGTTTTACTTTTAATTGATTTTTATCTCATATAAAATTGCCCCTTAAATGCTTAAAATTAATTTACAAAATGGTATCACTCCTTTGTTTTGAATTAAATATTTTTCATATTGGTTAGCAACAATTTCTGTTGAATTTATGAAATAAATCATTGTAATTACATGGAAAACTCAACATTTGCTAACCAAAATTATCGTTGTAGTAGAAGATTCCAGTTAAAAATAATATGGCAGCAACTTGCAATTTTACTTAATGTTCTAAGCACTGTTCGGTTACATTGACTTGTTAAAGTGGAATTGAGGATGTAAGGAACAGGTTAAAGTTTGTGAAATAGGATGGAGAAAGAGCTTATGCACCCTCGGTTCTATTTTAGCTCGATAATATGAGAAAAAAAAACAGAACAAATTATTAATCTGGTATATTGGTTATAAAATAATGGCTAAAGAAGAGACAATACAATTATTCTTTTTGTAAGAAGGAAAGAAACGGGATAATTTTGATCAAGGAAGAACCAATAATATATGCTAGGCTTTTTCAGAGCTGTGATTGAGTAGCTTTAATGCTTAATGAAATACACAATGGTTGGTTTGACCAGAATCTATTGGCATACCATTCTCATCATCCCATGAAAAAGTTCCTTTTATGGATCTTATTACTTCCTTAAATATGTTTGGATTCATCACATGTTTATCCTATTTCATGAAAAACGCATGGTTTACTTTAAGTGGCCAAATCCAAGATGTCATGATTATTAACACTTGTTTACCTTCAGATTTGGAGCCATAGTTGAAAAAAATATAGTTAGTTGAGAAATCTTTAATTTTGAAATATTGCTATTGAAAGTTATCTGATTTGGAATAGAACATAATTTATGCTCCACAAGTTTGATTGTACTTCTGCTTGAAGTTTTTTAAAAAGATATCATGTTTATCGCTTCATTAGTTCTAGAGGTGTATCTTAAAAATGTTGTATGGTTGCTTTGGTCTACTTGACTTTTGAGAAGGGCAGTTCGGCTCATTGAGGATCCTTAATTGTGTTAAGTGAAACCAAGATTCTGTTAATTAACTTCTTTAGATGTTAAATTTAGGTTTTAGCATCTTTCTCGCCAGGGAATCATAGATATTTCCCAGGTTTCCTCTACTTCTATTCTGGACAAATTAGATGCCAATATTCTAGTTTTAGTTTTATGAAATTGCACACAAATATATTTGTTTTGTGAAGGCAGATAATGTAAGGATGCACAAGCATACACTTAGGCCATTTCTGATATATTTAATATTTGTTTGTTGCTAAACTATATTAATTACCTGATGCCGGAGTTAACCCAAAGAACAATGGAAAAACAAAATATTATTACTAATTGTAAATATGTGATTAACCAAAACAACAACGAAAAAACAAAAAATTATTGCTGAAAGCAAATAGGAGATTACAACTAACACACTGAAACAGGAAATAACAACTTACTTAGTACACAAACTTAGCTAGAAGTGGTGTTAGGTGGCTGTCATGGGTAGAATGGGGTGTTGGAGGGTGGCTGTTTCAGTGGGTGAGGGGTGGCAGGGCTTGTGAGAGGCTGAAACAGCAGTAAAACAACAAAGGAAGGGGTTGCAGGACTGCGACAGTGATGCCGTACGGCTGGACAGGGGTAACACAGCAAAGGAAGGGTTGCGGGCTGTGGCAGCGATGCTGGATTGTTGGACAGTGGTAAAACAGCGAAAGGAAGGATTTGTGAAGCTGCGACAGCGAAGGTAGAGGGGCCTAGGACAACAATGACAGTGAACTGGGAGGCCGGGAATAGCAACACAGTGAATGGGGGGTGGAAGGCGAAGGCAGCGGTTGAAATTGTAGAAAAACGGCTGGGAACGGCTGTTTTGGGTGGCTGCAGCGAAAGAGGGATGAGTGGCAGTGAAGCAGGGGGAATGCAGATTAGTTGGGGAAGGATAAACACCACATCGGGAGCGAGATATAGGCGGAGCGCCACTCGACCCTTGGATACAACTCTCAAAAGGAGATGACGATGGCTGTCCCAAACAAAACTTATGGCAAAACTGTCACTTGAAACCCTAATACAACATATATATAGAAAATAACTAGAAATGAAGCAAGGATAAGGCGGACATCCGCATCACGGAAGCAAGCAGAGCCAAATCAAAGGGCACCTCTTTCAATTTCTTTCCAAATTATGGGGCCGCGAGACCCGGTGACTCTCGTGCCCACCTTTTTGACGCCTGCGCCATTTCCTTCTCTTAAAGAAAATTAATAGCCAAAATCCCAAACCTATTCCCAATTCTTGTTTACACTTCGTTATATTCTCTAGCTCTAGACACTATTCCATGATGCCCACCAATCTTGCATCATTTTTGATATTTCTTAATCATCAATTCGAACATCATCATCATATTTGACTTTTCTCTAATTAGATATTCTTGCACCATTTATATGTTTATCTTATGCTTGCCTTTTCTATTTCCTCATTTGTATGGACTTCCCATGTCTAGTTTTCAGCCTGTTGTTATTAAATCATGGATATCTATTTTCCATTCACTTAGGATAATAAAGTACTTTTATGCCCTTTTTATTCCTTTTTGTTTTTGTAATGGCGAAGTCTTCGTAATGCATATTGATGTAGATTTTGCATGAAATATTAAAAAAATAGAGGGAGTGATGGGTTCTTAATGATAGTTCTCAATGCGTTATTTTTTTCTTTATATTTTGCCCAACTTTTCATTAATTCAACCCTTATTTTTGAGAGGATTGATTGTGAGTGGAGAGGATGAAAATGAAGATATAATGTGAGAAGAGATGTTTGACCACCAAAGGAAGAATAAGAGAAAATCTCGCCCTCAAAATTTGTGGTGAGGAAGAACTTGTGGGAGAGAGAGGAGATGGAATCAAGCAAGAAAAGAGGGGACTTTTTTCAGTATTGAAGTGATGATGATAATTACACGTACTTGGTACATGAATAAGTGAAATTGATTTAAAATTAAAATAACTTATTATATGGAGCGTTCTACCAATCCTAAGGAAAGGAATAATTCTTATCAATAGAATATTCCCAAAGAAAATGATAATTGAATTATTATTTTTCATGAAAATGAAGTACATACAAAAGGAAATAAATAGCTAGAAGTTCAAATGCATACTCAATCCATGTCTTGAACCACATCAAATACCCCGTGATTGGTAGAACACTCCATCTAAAGAGTTGTATATGCTAGCTTGATTGAAAATTTGATGTCCACGGAGGAGATTGTAATGGAACTGGCTCATATGTTTGTTTTGAATTATAATTATTAAGGACACATTAAGTATGTTAATTTTTGTATTTTGCATTTAATTCATGTAAGAGAGACATAATAACTATTTTGTTATGAGTAATAAACTCTTAAGTTATGGTTTAAGAGCTCTAAGTCTGTGGCTCTAAATAAAATTGTTTAATCTCTTTGTATGAGCATTATTGATTATTATTGAAAACAGATGCATGTATTCTTGATTCCACCTTTTTTGCCTCTCAATCTCCTCTCTCTTCTTTCTTTCCTTAGGGTAAAGAAATTACTTGAACCCCTCTTTAAACTCTTAATTTTCTCAATATTTTACTCTCATATTTCTCTCTTTCTCAGACTATTGCGTAAACAATAATTGCAAACACTCATTTTGCTGCATTCTATCAATATTTGATATTACAGTTCAGTAACTTTTAAGCGAGAGTGACATTTAAGTCTCAAATTTTCTTTTGTTGGTTCTTGCTTCCTAAATGTCACTACCTCTCTCTTACTTTTCTGCACCCATACATGAAATCACAATTTTTTATTCCTCTATTCCTTATTTTTTAGTCCGATAATCATTTTCATGGAAGTATGATACGAAGTATATAAAATCAAAAGCTCTCCCACATTCCTGCAATTATGAGCTCTTAGTTTGTATGTGCTGTTCTATGGTCTTGTATGATACTTCTTGATGATTATTGAAAAATGGAAATGAAAGCATGGAAACGTATACCCCATCTTCTCTATTCTTACTTTCCCCTCTCTCTTCTTAAGTAAACGAACCTACTTACTAGCCCTCGTATCTTTTTAACCCCTTTGCTATCTCAACATTTCTTTTACCTATTCTCTCTCTCTCTCTCTGTGTCAAAGTGGAGTTGCAAACATTCATTCCACCACTTTTGATCCCTATTAAATTCACTCTTATCTTTTTTTTTTTCAATCTCTATTTTTATCTTTGCCTCTCTAGTTTTTCCTTAAACGTTTGATTTCCTTATTCTAATAAATTCTAGGTGTAAAAAATCCACCAAAATCTTTACCTTTGCTTCCTGCTTTGCATAAAAATGTCTTTAAGAACTTAAGATTTGTTTGCTTGAGAATATAATTTATTAATTTTATGATTTAGATGCAGACCCCCTTTTTTTAGTTTATTTATTTTATTGCAGCTTTATGTTATGAGCTAGTTCTAGATTCGTTTGTATTGCTTTGAACTTCGGATTGTTTGTCCTCAGTTTAAAATCATGATCATGATTTGCTTCACTGTAGTACCCTAGCTGGTTGTTGGATGCTTTGTCATTCCTTTGGCAATTTTTCTATTGCAGAATTTTATTTTTGACTTGATACAAGATATATTAACTTTATCTTGGTATGTTTTTGGAAGCATTTGCTAAAACATGATAGCTATCAAATTCTTTTATGCCATTACCTATTTTTGTCACTCCCTGCTTTCCTGAATACGTTAGCAAGTTATTTAGTAGAAATATCTTAGATCTCATTTTTTTAATGCTCCATAACAAGAAAATGTGGGCTTTTATTGTTTGAGGTAGATTAGCTTATGCTATTGGCTTGTTTCAGATGCAATTGAATGATGCTGTTGCTAGAGAAGATTATGAGGCTGCCGCAAAGCTCAAGATAGCACTTCATGCTGCTAAAAAAAGTGATATTGTAGGCTCTGCAATACTTGAATACAATGTAAGAAGATTTTTAGGACCTTACACTGTTTTATTCAAAATCTTATAGCATTTACTTTACATTTATCACCATTAATCTTGTGCTTTGCAGAAGGCAATTGGAGAGGAGAGGTACAATGATGCAACCTTTCTTCAAGATAATGCTGGCACTGGATTGGTACGTCTTAAACACAGGAATCTAACTAAATGTTTTTCATCCTTATTTATGAGATGGTTTTTCTTTGCACGTCAATAATCTGATGGTTAATATTTTCTTATTATGCTCAAAATGTTGAAAGAATTTTTCCCAGTACATTGCGTAATTCATGGTACTTTCTGGGAGAGTCAGAGATTTATGCTGATATCCTTATTTCTAAATGCTGTCATGCCACATCCAGAAAGTTAAAAATGCCACAGATATTGTGTTTTCTGGCAAACTCATGGCGGCCATAAGAAGAAAAATGATGGTGATAATCATGCTGACGATGATGATTATGGCAGTGTTTTGCCATATTCATATTATCATTTTTCCCTTAATTATGATTGCAGAGTTTTTGATCTATTCACAATTCAAATATTAAATTTTTTATGTTTACTTTGTATTTATTTGGTTTGTACCCTTATGATGGAAGCACTTTTATAGAGCGTCATCTTTTGTGTTTTCGAGCAGCCATATTTTATCGGAATCGCGAAGTTGTTAGCTTGTAAAACCTTGAATGATTTGCAGTTTGTCAATCAATTTTTTGACTGCGGTTACAGTTATTAAAAAGTTAGTAAATGCGAATACTGAACAACGTGATACTATTCGATATATTTCCGGTCCCTACATTAACATTTGTTAGATATAATACGGTTGAAGTTCTGTTTTTGCTAGATGCATTTTCAGAGTGCCTCGATTTTTGTATTGAAATGTAAAAGATTTGACATTTTGCTGGTAAAAGGATGGTTGGAGGATGTTCAAATGGATTAGGAACTCTGCATAATTTTGCATTTGTGAATATATGCTTTTATTTTACTAAGCATGCATTGCGTTTTTATTGCTTTATACCTATGGTTTTTTTTTTTTTTTTTTTCTAATTTTGTTTTGGGGAAAAAATGCAGTTGGGATGGTGGGCTGGCATTTCAAAAGATGGCGCTAATAGCTTTGGTCGAATTGCACATATAAGTGCAGAACATGGAAGATATGTGGCTAGAAGCTATAGCTCAAGGTTATGTTTCATTTCAGATTTTTTATATGAAAAATAGCTTTCCATATAATTAATTATTATACCGCCAGAAATATCTGATTGGTTTATTGTTTATCTACAACTTTAGATTATAAGATAGTATACTTCACCCTTGTTGACCTGTATTATACTTAAGTTGGACATTTTTGTTTAGCTGCACCTTTCAATCTAAGTGTCTGTTTGGGGCAGCTTTTCAGCTGCAGCTTAGCTACCCCAGAAAGTTGCTGCGGGGAAGCTGTGACAGGGAAGTTGGATGATTATTTGTTGCAGCTGTTTGACAATGGCTTTATGACAGCTATTTCTAAATAAATGACCATTATACTCCTATTTAGTAAAACTGTTTATACATACATTGAAATTTAGTGGTACGTATGTAAATCTTTATTTACATATTAGTTATTAATCATATTAATTATATTAATAACAATTACATATAAATTTATTGAATGAATTTAAAACTAAATTATATTAATTAATAATTATAAAATAATTGTAAAATTTTAAATTAAAATCAATTAGTTAAGGTTTAGTGTGGAATTGAAATACATTTACTCATATTTTCTAGGTTAATAAAGTTTTATATTAATTCCATTAAATAAAAAAAAATGCATGAAGAAATAAAATCCATTTAAATCCCATACAATTCCTTCAAACTAAACATAACAATTAATCAAGTTTTCTATTAATTCCATTAATCAAAAACCAGTCCGAAACAATTGTTCGATGCAGTACAATAACCAGAATCTTTCGTAGTGATGGAAACCTAAAATCCATCCCATGGAGAATGAAAAATAATAAATGAAGGTTGGATTTACCTTTGAGTGAATCTACCAGCAGTAAACTCCTATTGTAATCCTTCTCTGCTTTCATTAACCACAACTCAAATAACACGAAGGAATAAGAACTAGAGTCGAATATTGAAGCCATTTTGAACCGGATGGAGTAGAAAGGAAATCGCGCCTCTTTTTGCTGAACAGGGGGAATGCGAGGGATTTTCGATTTGAGCTTCGGTGATGGCCTAACAACCGCCAGCTTGGACCCCATGTGTGAGACCGAAGAAACTGAAGGCCTCCTGGGAGACGTTCAACTCCACATGGGTTTAGCTTCGCTAGAAGCTAGTGCAGAAGAGGCTTTGGCGAGACACTGAGGAGGCAGAAGAGGGTTTGGGAGACGTGGGGAGCGCGGGGTAATCAAGGCATTATTAGAACATAACGCGGGGCCGCGGGATTGAACCCGTGGCCCACGTTTCGCCTAATTTAGCGGAGGCCGGCCGCAAATGCAACATCCAAATGAGAAAAAAAAATTCACGGTTTGGGGTTACGCTGCGCGAACGAAGCGGCCCTAAATAGACCCTAAGAAGTCATGAGAAAGCTTTTTTAAAGATGCAAGTATTTATGGATGACGGGAATATCTTATTGTATGGAAACTTAAGAATATATGCCATCTTGTTGTTGTTGTTTATCACAATACATTCTTGAAATTACGGAGCATGCTTGGCATGTAATTTAATATTTTCATGGTGATGAGCATGGTAGCTATCAAAAATCAATGCGGATGGTGAGGATATCTTGTTGTCTGGAAGCTTGAGAATATATGCCATTTGGTTATTGTTATTTATTACAACACATTCTTGAAATTACGGAGCATTCTTGCCATGCAACTTAACATTTTCATGGTGATGGCATGGTAGCTATTAAAATCAATGCGAAACAGCTTTTGTTGGTAGTGTTACGTCGTCGTTGTTGCTTTTTGATTTTTGGTTATGGAGTGCATCAAATTGGTATTAGAGCCTAAATCTTGGTGGGATGACAGTAAAGAAAGTTGATATGCTAGAAGGATATATTGGGCAAATCATATCGGGAATGAAGAATGGTTCGCCACTATGGAGGGCAAGTTTTCTTCCATTGAAAGTCGAATGAAGGATGAATTTGAGAGCATAAGAGAAATGAGGGAGAAGATAAATAAACTCATGTAAATGCAGTCCAAGCCCATTCCGATTGCTCCAGTTGCAAACCCTAACCAAGGGTTGATCAAGGAATCCTTGGTTAGGTCAAAGGAAAGGAGATCGAACGAGAAGACAACGAGAAACACGTCATATACCAACAAGAGCGTTCCCTTAGGACTCCAAGAGGAGGGGGAGTGGAGACTTCTGGTGGAGGGGGATTAGCCGAAAATTGGAGGGATGGTATAAGGGGCACAAAAGAGCACAATAGAGGAAGGAGGGAATCGGGAGTTGGGTATGCCTTTGACCGAAGGAGAGAGTTCCATCCTAGATATATGGGGGGAAATACCAGAGGAAGTGGAGGTTGGGGTGGAGAGGCAAGGGTCAGAAAACTGAAATGCCAATTTTCGAACGGGAGGATGCACACGGTGAGTGTATCAAGTGGAGCTATACTTTGCAATCAATGAGTTAACTGAGGAAGATAAACTCATGACAGCGGGATTGTGCTTGGAGGGAAATGTTTCAGCATAGTTTCAGTGGATGAAGTCAAGGTATCCAATGCACTCATGGGTGGAGTTTAAGGATTGCTTGTTGGTGTGTTTCCGAGCCATTCAGAAAGGAGATCTACAAGAGGGGATAATTAGGGAATACCGAGAGAAGTTTGAGCTCTTGTCAGGGATGTTGAGGGGTATTTTTGAAGCAGGACTGGAAGAGAACTTCTTGAAAGGCCTAAAACCCGACATATGAGTAGCCATCTACCCCTTAAAACCGCGTGGATTGAGGGAAATAATTGGGCTCACCCAGATGATAGAGGATAAAAAACATTTGAAAAAGACCAGCAGAGCGACAATATCAGAGGATTCTACAAAAACACCTTGACAACCATGACATCGAGGACTCAAATGGCGTTATTTCAGAAAAAGACGCCGAAGGAGAAGATTACAGGGACCAGTCCCGGGGCTAATTTCAAGCGCCTCACAGATACAGAAGTACAGGTTAAAATAACAAAAGAATTATGGTACCGCTTTGACGAGAAATATGCCCATGCTACCATTGTAAGGAGCGCGTCCTTTAGATTCTTTTAGTTCAGGAAGAGTATACAGAGAGTGAGTAATCAAATGAGGATGCGGTCGAGGAGCGTCTGCATCTGGATGTGGCAGGGTTGTCCGTCAATTTGGTGGTGGGATTTACCATCTAATCACACCATGAAGGTGAGTGACTGGATCAGGGAATAACCAATTCTGGTGTTCGTAGATTGCGGAGCCACACAAAACTTAATCTCAAATCAAGTCGTGTAGAAATTATGGTTGGAGTTGGTGACTGCTAGGAGCTTTGATGTTAAGATGGGGACAAGGAAGGTGGAGAAAATTCTGAGAGTTTTCAAGCGGTTTGTTCTGACATTACATGGATATAGGTGTTGGACTTTCTTTTCTTAGATTTGGGCAGCCCAAATGTGATTTTGGGGATGATGTGACTTCAAATGCTTGGGGAGATGAAGGTGGATTGAAAGTCCCTGACGATATAGTTCCAAGTGGAGGGTAAGAAGTTGATGCTGAGAGGAGGTCCTAATTTATGCAATACTATGGTGTTGCTCAAAATCATGGTCAAGTCGATTCGAGGAATAGGGCTAGGCTACTTGGTGGAGTTGCAGAGCATTGATGAGATTCAAAATTCAGAGTTGACAGAGTTTCTTGAAGTGGTCCGACAACTCTTACAGTAGTTTTCGAATATCTTTTAACAACCAAGCGGTTTACCTCCCATGCCGGAGCACGAGCACACAATTACATTAAAAGAGGGTCTTTCTCTTATCAGTGTCAGACCATACATGTATCCTTAGTTTCAGAAGGATGAGATAGAGAAGTTGATCCGAGAGATGCTTGAGGCCAGGTTTATCGGGCCTAATGTAAACCCTTTTTTCAATTCAGTCCTGTTGGTGAAGAAAAAAGATAGACGTTGGAGATTATGCTCGAAGTACCGGGGTTTGAACAAGGAGACGGTGTTGGACAGGTTTCCTATTCCTGTTACTGATGAGCTACAGGTTGAGCTTTATGGGACAATCATTTTCTCAAAAATTAAACTTAAGTTGGGATACCACCTGATCAAGATGAATCAAGCGGATGTGCACATGAAAACGACTAAGACACATTAAGTACATTATGAGTTTTTACTGATGCCGTTTCGCCTCATCAATGCCCTGATGACATTTTAGTTCCTCATGAACATGGTTTTTCAACCTTACATCCGAAAATTTGTCTTGGGCTTCTTTGATGACATTCTAATATACAGTCGTAGAAATACAACATGTGGGACACCTAAGGACAGTCTTGGAGACGTTGAGGGAGCACCAGTTGTATGCCAAATGTTCTTTTGCACAATTATAGGTGGAGTATCTAGGACATGTGATGACTAGAATGAGGATAGCAGTGGATCAGTCCAAGATGGAGGCTATGGTGGATTGACCCTTACCAAGGAGTTTGAAGGAGTTGAGAGGATTTTTGGGTTTCACCGGTCACTGCTGGAAGTTCGTGAGAGGATAGACACAATAATATGGCCACTAACAGAGCAGTTGAAGAAATACAATTTCAAATAAGGAGAAAAAACAACACAAGCATTTGAACATTTGAAGAGAGCCATGACCAACGTCCTGATATTAGCACTTCTAGATTTCAACAAACTATTTGTGGTTGAAACAGATGCGTGCCGATTGCCTACTTCAGCCAGGTTCCTACGACCAGAGCGAGGCTAAGGTCAGTATATGAATGAGAATTGATGACGATTGTCTTGGCCATTCATAAGTGACAACCCTACCTGTTGGGATGACATTTTCTAGTCAGGACAAATCAGAGGAGTCTAAAGTATCTTCTGAAGTATCGGATGGTGAATGAATAACATCAGAGATGGCTATCCAAACTATTGGGGTATGATTTCGAGATTCAGTACATGCCAGGATTGGAGAACAAGACAGTCGATATACTGTCGGGAAAGGTGGATGAACCCCAACTGAAGTTTCTATTGACACCCTTGGTCTTAGAGCGGGATG